CTGTCCTGAGACTTGGCCAACGAGAACTTTTTGAGTTTCAAGCAAATATATTTCATTAAGGTTCTGTTTCTAACTAGGCTAAGAAGATCTACACCTACTTATCTAACCGATCATTAGTTCTCTGCAGCATTTTGACACGATGACTCCTGGCCAACGTTTCAATTCGATCCGAGAACGATTACCTACTTAACGTATATTCACAAATGTTTGATGCTGCAACGAACTGCAAGCATCAACTGTTACGGCGCGGCTTGTAATACAGCAGTTTGTTCGCTTGCTCCTGCTGTAAAATTAGTTAGGACGTTCCCTTTAAATGCTCTATTTCTCAAGGTCTCTCAGTTTACTCCAGACCCGGAATCCTTCAACTGTACTATAAACCCATGCAATGCTATTACATACTGTTGCGCATCTAGCGCTCGAACGTTACGCTCGAAACAACCATTGTTGATCCGAATTCGCGTTAATATTCAACAATAAAAGTAATAACTGATTGTCTAGGGCAGCTCGGTCTTCATTTACCGCATTCAGCCGTAGGAGTGAATGGATCCTGAGGACGCAGGAGATACAACAGCAGCCTAACCTTAACATTTACCGTTGAGTTAGTGAGGATGAATTAAAGGACCGCTTTCTCATAGAGCACAGGTATGGTATTCGAATTATCAAATTATAACTTTGAAGTAACAACAAAATGATCTTGTCCTGGCTGTACACAATCGGCCTTCTAATCGACACGATAGATGCTAGCCACACATAGTCTAATTGTACGGCTAAAGAGTGTCGTCTACTCTAAACAACCGTTTCTCCACCATATATAATAGAACCGATTTTATGAAATACTTGTGACAAAAAAAGGTGCAGCTTTGTAGCAGAAAATTAAAATGCGAAAACTAATTATCAGGCTTGAATTAACGAGAGGCCGTTCTTCTTTCTATATGTCGTTTAGCTAGAGAAAAATCGAAATACTGGCCAGGATGAGTCATGGAGTATGAAAATAAAGGGTTCATAATTTAGCAAATTGCGTTTGAGTTAGTATAGATAAGAATTTCACATCGATCTAATGTAAGATTACATCATTAGAAGAGTTATGGATGTTCTAGCGTTTACGTATGACACGTCTAGCATTTTATTACCTAAATAACGTAGCATAGTTCAATCCAGAACGAAGCAGTTTTTCAGTGATCGCTTCATATTGAAGTTAATTTTTCAGTAAAAACCAAACGACCAAAAAGCACTTTGTAATCTCCTCATTGGTAAGACCTTCCGACTGGGTCGAAAAAGCTGTCTCTGAAAATAAAAACGAATTGAAGAGGTTAGTTGATTTTATGACGCTTGGGTGCTCGTCTGGGGATGCTTGAGTGTTTTGTAGATGTATATGTCACATCAGGGACAAAAGTAAAGTCAAAACATTGTCATCTTGTACAAGACAAGGTTACTCTGAAGCTGATGGCTCACGATAGAGCCTGGCTTTACCATAGAGACTAAACGGTGAGGACTGCGTTCAGCTGCGGATGAGCCCAACTAAGAACATTGCTTCTGTTGTCGTTGTAAAATGACGATTAAGTCGCAGAAGATTTGCCTACCCTATCGATCATACCTACGTCGCGCCTCTATCCACCAATCAGAAACTGCTCTATCGCAGTAGCTCGTTTTCTATATTTTTTCTTCTTCTTCTTCTTTTTCTTTCTTTTTTTTTTTTTTTTTGAAGAATCATCTTTGTTTGTTGTTGTTGCTGCTGCTGCTGCTGCTGCTACCAACAGCGATGCCACAACGATTGCCGATGCGTGTGCCGGTTTGTGTGGTTCAGTAGTTCAGCGTTTTTGCAAACTTTTACGTGACCTCTTCTTAAGGCTCTGCTCGTGCGCGATGTTGCCCCTGACTGGTAGCTCTGCACGCCCATGACTCCACCGTAGAACGGTAATAGCGCTGTAGTATCAGTAGCAGTATGGGGAGGGGGGACGGGGGAGGGGGATGGGGGGCGTAAGATAAGGCATAGTTGTGTTTTGCCCGAAAGCCATAAGCGAGTGTTATGTTTCAGTGGATGTTTATTGGATGTGAACCGTGTCCGCCGTGACACCACCATTGTCGATTGCAGTTTTGCTTGGGCAGTTAGCACTTACTTGAGATGAGCTGGTATATAAGTGATGAAGGTGTTGAACGATCACTCATTCCGATGAACAACCGATAAGGATAACGTTCTAGTGCTCTTTCCATAGACACCTCCGAGAGAGCAGTTACCTCGGTGTTTGTAGAAAATTATATGTAAGTTCACTGACTAAGTAACTTAAGCCAGCTCCGATTGCATAAAGTGCGTTGGATATAGCCATCGTGTGACTTCCAGACTGCGAATACGACAGGGTGTTTAGCTAAGTCAAAAGCCTGAAAGAGAAGAGGATTGATAGCCATGCTGAAGTTCGCCATTATGGTATGTTGTGTTCGTAGAGGTTAAATATGTCTATGCAGAAACTGATTTCGCTATCTCACATATGTTTGTTTTTTGCTACCGAATCGAGTACTGCCTATTAAATGATGACCTAAGGCGTATGTTTGTTACCACGGTGATTATTAGTCAAGGAGGTAACATGTCTGATACTTAATTCTCCGAAATCTCTTAAATCGTCCGAGACCATATCTAAGACGCTTACAGCTGATTATTGTTTGCTTCGATTCTGACGGTCAGGAACTTTAGTAGTCTTGACATTTAGTTCTACAGTATACACACGGCACAGTTGTTTATAATACTGTGCCTTATCCTATTCATAAAAATATTAAAAATTATATAATATGTATGTTTTTTTATATATAATATTTTAAGAATTATTATAATTTGTCGCAGTTTTCTGAATTATTATGAAAGATTTCATTATTATTATTATTATTTATCCATCAAATTTGTACGTCGACAAATTCAATCAGTTCCCAATTTTTGTAAAAGAAAAAATAATTTTTAAGTAATATGATTAATATTATTATTATCCATCTATACAGTATAATATCGTAGGCATTGTATTATATGTTGATGATTATCACAGTTATGATATTTCATTCACAGGAGTAGGCTGAAAATGACTGAAACCCACGGAAATCAGATATGGTATTCGTCCATCAGGCATCGAACAATGGTACATAACATACACAGAAATTCTAATCACCTCTAATACATTTTGTTTGTTTGTGTGTGCGTGTGTTTCTTTCTAACAGCAGTTCACTGTTTACCTTGCTCTTCTTGCGCTTGCTCACCGTTCGTGGGCCCAACCGGCTTATGGCTACAGTGAGTATCCTGAGCATAGTGATTTGGATACAGCGGCTCAAGACCACCATGAAGAGCAGCATCGGGAAGACAACGAAACTCCTATGCCATACTCGTTCCAATACAGCGCCAACGATCCTGAAGGATCCCACTCACATTCGGCCACATCTGACGGAAACACTGTCACAGGCGAATACAGCATTCAGCTGGCTGATGGCCGAATGCGGACCGTCAAGTACACAGCTGACGAGAATGGCTACCGAGCCGAAATCGTAACCAATGAATTAGGCACAGAGTCAAAAAATCCTGCTGATGTAATCATCAAATCATCAGCCCCCACAGGGCCAGATGCTGCGTTAGAGGGCTCACCGGCTGCAGTTGCTGCTCCTGCTCCTGCCCCTGCGCCTGCCGAGGTCGAGGCCACCGAGACCCCCGCTGCTAAAACTGACCCTGATGACGCTTCGGCATCTCAGCTGGATCATGTCTTCGTACAGTCGCCAACTGCCTACAACAGCGAGCGTCAGCAAAGACAAAAGTATCGGTACTACGGAAGCAGATACGCTCAGTAGCTGTGGCCGTAAAATAGTTTTTTCCTGTTGAATCAAGGTTTTCGGTACATACCCGAGAAAGCCTCGTTAGCTTTGTGATCTTTGCTCATGCTTGTTTAGGCTAGAATTAAGCATGCAGGTGAATTTGGTATATAGAGTCCTGTACCTAATGCACCGAAACAATCAGTATCGTCATAGCAAATGCGAATAGGATAAACAAAATCCATCATATTCGAATTCTGGGACCCGTAATGCAGCACCGTATGAGGTAATTATTCTACAAGATATTTCGTATTTAAGATAGTAAAATAAGTTATTCAGACGAAACTCATATTCGAGAACTTCTCCGGCCAGAGTTTGTACGGCGCATTGTGTAGCACAGTATGTGCGACAAACACTTGAACGCCATCATATAAAATGCGTCAATCATTCACCGTTTGTCAGCTTTGTTTGTGTACACCTGCCTATCGTGTCCTTCGACTATTGATGGATATGTATGCGTCTTTGTAAACCGCTCGTTCAAACTATTTTCTGTCCACTCGACATTCGTATGTTATTTTCTCTCTCATCTCGAGAAGATATTGTTTGCAGTGTGCCCTCATCCGCGTCAGCCGAAAAAAAAAACCAAAAAAAAAACTTGATTGTGTTATCGGACCTACTTTTCTAGTTAGTTTGTATAACTTTTGAACAGTTAAAATTTCTACATAGAGATGAAAGTTGTCCGAACTATTCGCATACACAGTGCACTAGATGTAGCACTAATACGTGTAACATTAATCTAATATAATAATTTAAGTTGGTTATTTATAGTAGTGACAATTGTGTGCCGGATTATAGCTGGTACGGGTGGCGATCGAATCGCTCACCGTTACAACTATTCTATATAAGCTTTCAGATGTAATTATGTACGATCGAAAGATGGACGTCCGATTATGTACACTAATAATTCGTTAAATAAACCAACGACAGTCATATCTATTGTGCGATTGTTTCTGTCAACATACGTTCTAAGCAATTTTCCTACTTTGCTACCGGCTCAAAGGTTTAGCTAGAAGCGTTATAATCCAACCTTCGAGTCGTTATTTACTAAATATATTCGATGACACAACTGCCCGGTCGCACCCACGCCTATGGCTACATGTAACGAACCTATACCCATGTTGATGTATAAATACTTAGGAAAATATCTTCATTTCACTAAATAGAATAGAATGCATCCTTGCGTTTGGATTGGATTGGACGTATGTTCTGTGAACGGGTGTCAAGTCGGCCAAACTGTCCTATCGTGTCATATGAATACGATATTTGCCAAGAATCTAATTATGACAGATCTCGTTAGGTCTCCATTTGTCAAACGCTTGACAGCTGCAAGTTCTGCTTGCTAAACGCAGAACTGAGTGAGTTTCTTCCAGTCCTGACTGTTTAGCTTGCATTGTCATCCGAAAGAAGTAAAGCTGATTGAATGCCATTTGCATCAGGAACAAGGCTGGTAGGTAATGCTCTGCTGTCAGGACCGTTTTGGGATAACTGCTATTGAATTATCTGTATTCATACTCGTGTGTAGGCTAGGCACGAAAACATGCGCGTATGTAGTACTAAGAACCGGCGATTTCTTGCCCAGCATAAAGCTGTAACGCTTATGATATTTTGCTTTCATGCAGAAAGCTATCTGTTTGTTTTTCTTATTCAGCAAATATTATCGTTATATTCACCGCTGCCTATCGTGTAAATGGTATACATAACTAGTACCGGACTGAAGGGCGTATTTCTGCTTCGTCGGTAGTATCTGTGGATATCCAGGTATGCTTTTGTCTGTGTGTGGATCGGAACATATAAACTACGATTCCCTGTGCCAATACGTGTGTGCGTACGTGTATATCAACGTATGTCGATGTACCCCCTCCGTTAATAACCGACCGGATTAGAAGGTTACAGACGCTGCCTGTTAAACATGCGCAATTCATTTATTACGTTGGCCATAATCCTTTAACGAGATGGATGCATCTTCTTCACGGGACCTTCACTTGGATGCTGCCTTGACAATTTTTGTTTGCACCGGATCATTTTTGCAAGATACTTGTATTCTTTCTGATTGCCCGGTCGTATTGTACATGGGAAGTACTTGCGGCGCGCTGCTACTGCGATTCTGTTTGCCGGTTGAGGACCGCGTCAGCACGAAAAGTTCGACGACGATAGAACGGCAATACGCAAACGCGGGGCGCAACAAAACAACAATTTGAGCAAGTCTTTACAGGCTCGCGTCCTTGGCCAGTCGGGGGTACCACGGAGGTCGATCATATTCCTTAAGAACACATATCACAGTGAGTCACGGAACATTTACCATCGTTACCGCTGGAAGATGTGCTATAGCTGTCTCATTATCTATCTATTCTATCTCTATTATTTGCCTGAAGCCATAAATAAGAGGTTCATTAGTTTAATCTCTCCTTTTTATACTGACTGTTTTTGTTCAAAATGCATAGGCAAATTAATATATCGATGCTTCAGTCTGATCGCAATTAATGTTCGATAGAGTTGCCTATATATATAACACAGATGCGCTTCGTCTGTTCAAGTAACCCCAAATAAAATCAAAAAGCTTAAATCAGTTTTTCTTCGACTCGGAAAACGCATCAAGTGCTTCGAAGCAAGAGACAAACTGTCAGTCAAAGGCCGTATACGCCTGAAGCCCTTATATGTTCTCCTTCCTATTTGAGGTTTGTGCGTGTTGCCAGATTGCCCGTTGTTGTACCTGCCTACTTCGATTTCCCTTATTTCAGACTTCGATCTTTTATACAGTACTCAGCGTACCTTAGTGCAGATAGTTTTCGGGAAAAAAAAACACTCAGACGTTAGAATAAAGAGCACAAAACCATAATGGTCACTATTGCAGATCTTTGCAATCTTTTACCATCATCGTGCTAGTATAAGGTAAACAGCAACAGAATATAGTGCATATTAAGCACACTGTGTTAAGTAAGTGATCACATCATATCGTGTCATCGTAAACATGCCTCGATTCGCTAAATGCCCTTGTCTTTCATATTAGCGGTCACGCACTTCACTCAAACACAGTCAGGCCGCTACAATAGACGGCATCTTTCAATGCTCAACAACAGCTGAGCTCAGACACTGGTTCCGACACTCCGTTCGGCCCAGAGCCATACCACGACGACCCTGGTTGAATCGTTGGGCCAACGTGTTTCGGCAAAATATCCCACCCACCATACCCACAAGCCACAGAGACAGCTTTCAGGAACGCCGTCAAACGTTCAGACGGATGCATCAATAGCAAATCAAGTGATAGATACGGCAATTGTTGTTTCGTAAGTCCGTTCCCACTCAGCGCGTGTGCGTGTGTTACTACGAGTGTTTGTAGTATTAACGAATGGACCCTTGAAGTGTCAGCTGACATCTTTTCTCGTTATTGCTGGCGCGTCGCAGCGGTCATCGCAATTTATACCCGTATTGCGATTATTCCATTCATTGCTCACTCGCTGAACAGTTCAGTACGGCGGTCGTGGCAATCGGGCCTTTCTAAGCGATAGGCAGAAACGGACAGTTTTGTACCAAATCGAAATATAGCTTCTGTTGCTGCATGACTGATCTGCCTTCCAAGCCAGCCTTTACAAATCTCAAATGATTCATGACCCACATAGCCACATGTATATGCATAGTTGCTTGTATAGGAGTGACGCAAGTAAAAAGGGGACCTTTTGTGATATGCAAACATTCATTTTCACTAGAAATTAAAAAATATGTAAATCATTAGAAGCTATACAGCTCATTTTAATAACTCCGTCTCCGCGGGCTCGTTTTGATTGATAATGGCTATGCATTTTCTACGTAAGGATATGCCGAGCGCAGTTTTATGCAGGCATAGTAGAATAGTATCTGAACATAGATCGCATGTATTTAGCTTTAAAAACTGTGAATTTATTAATCTTCAAGTACTCAGATGAAGCTACAGATTAGTTTTATCCTGTTCGAGGTAAAGCTAAAAAACCTTATCTAGTGTCTGGTCTTGACGTATTCCAGTGAAGTATAGAGTACCTGTCGCCGTCAGAGCAGTTTGAATTCTGGCTTGTCCCAGCTACATAGAACAGAGTTCGTCTTTATTTGCCTTTCCCAGCATTCGATGTTCCTGTTGTTCATTTCACGAATTATATACACGAATTTAGATAAGTCAGGACACGAAGATGATAGTTTTATCTACTTTTTGCGGTAACATGTGTCAGTGAAGTGATCTTTGAGCTGAAATGTTAGTGCCACCTGTGCCTTCCTAGTGTCGTAATATAGTCAGAGCTTTTTCCATCAGACTAGAACACTAAACAAGTTTCCAATTATTTTAAAACTATTTAATTTGGACGAAATCAACGAAGGACAAAATAATAAAGCGTATCGATGTTGAACGTTCGTATATGCGCATTACACATTTTCCTTCTTTTTCGGATGAGACAGAAGCATGTCTAGTTCATTTGTTACGGCTTTGAAGTTAAAAATGCCGTCTCCGCTAAAATCACAATAAGCAAAGGGTAATTGTTACGGTAGTCACAAAATCGTCATAAAAGAGATCAGGGGTTGTATTGCTAAAAACCAAAAAGGCTATTCGAACAGACCTTGCGTGGGGTTTCCCCAGTTTTTTGAAGTCCTAAAAAAAAGTTAAAAAAGTCTAATCCCTCAATGATTCTTACGTCCCTTTTTCCTATATTAGTTATTTTATGAAGCTTGTATTATAGTGCTATGGTTGCTTAGATAGACAAAGCTGTATTTTAAACGGGGCAATAAGCTCATACCAAAAACTGAAATAACGCAGTGATCTTTCAAAATGGAAAAGATCGCTGCGTTTAAATTACGAGATACTTCACTGTATTGAAAACGGCTGCATTCGGCGTTGTATTTACATTTACGAAAAAGGAGTGAGCGTCAATCGTGAAGCGACGTAACCTGGGACTCCACATTTATGGGTTCAGCGGGTAGGTATTTGCGACAGGCAATCAAATGATAACAATGTACGCCGACAACGCCTGATCACATCTTGATAAAGCTCCGCTGGCTCTTTAGACGAACTATGTAGGTTCTTGTGAGTACAAACATGCAGATTTACTATAACGATAATAGAACGTCTGCAAGAAATAATGAAATAACCTATACGTTTTCGTGTATGGAAAGGATACTCTCTTCCAATTTACACCCCCGTTTTATGAATTTGACATACTCATCCGAATGCAGCCATGACAACTGCTGGGTAGAAATTTTCTAGCCAGATTTTATGTATGTACGTCCATAAGCAGGCTGTCTGCACGACAGCAGATGTCCGTTTTTCCAGATATCGTATAAAGCATGCAAGATACAAGTCAGCCACATTCAGGTCCGAGAAGTTTTCGAACTCGCGATTGTAGTTGTCTTCTTGTTGATGTTTATGGTTCAAATCGGCAAAGAACACATGTCGCATCTGGACCATGGTTACAAGCACCAAATCGATCGGTATTGTCCAGTGCACCCATTACTCTCGATCACTTGTCGATGGATTGATGAAGCACCTTATTCGATGGCGAACTCATCCGCTTCTTGGTCGTCCTTGATATTCGGGATGGCCTCCTTGAGAAAGGGTTATGCGGGTGATCAGTTGGGGGAAAGAGGACGGCCAGGGATGCGGTATAAAGAGGAAGCACTGAGCCGCGAAAGCCAACAAGAAACAGTGCAACCATTGACAGATAAGAAGAAGAATATAAACAAGAACGAGTGGAAGAAATAGACCGTAGCAGTTCTTGTTGCTGATATCACTACGGCCGCTGTAATCCATCTGTAAACATGGTACGAAAATATAGACTTGCGCCGTGATCTCTATAGTTTGTGCTTCGATCTTTTTCTTATGCTAGCTTTTGAAAGTGCGGGCTGGTTTAGCTAGCGTCGTGCATCAAGTGATAATGTGTAGAGATAGAATTTTGAAACGATAGCGTCGACGTAAGTGAACGGTTATGCAGAGCTCAAAGGACTAACATTATTAAAGTGTGTCGTCTTCCTGTCTATTTTCTACTGACTTGACCTATATGATTGGTCGTTATGTTCTCGACAAATACTGGTTGGCTGATAGTTATGGAACGCTGGCCAACAATAATAAAGAGTTCTTAGTCTCGGTGGGCTAGAATATATTGATGATGTCTTTGCCTACAGATATTTCAAAAAATAGAAATACAACATTCAAGTGTGCCAAGCTATTCCATGAACACTTTTATAGTGCTCTAGACCTATACGGTTATATACTTATAGTATGCTCTCGAAACTCTACAATTCTCTAGACGAATCTGGACGTTTTTTGCCGACTCAAATCTTGTCAAGTTAGAAGTTGTAAAACATTGTAACATGCATTATTTTCTATGCCAACTTCAACTTGAAGATTGAAGTTATCATTAATCTTAGCTCTAAAACCTCACTAATAACAATCCGATTACTTCGAACTTCGTTTTGTAGCGGGGTGTACTCGTCACGCTTTCGTGTTTGGTGGCAATCGTCGTAAGCCAAGAAGAATCATATCCACCTCAGCCATTCGAATTTTCCTATACAGCTCAAGACCCTGAAGGATCGCATTCGCATTCACAACAAGGTGATGGCGCCGGAAAGGTATGGACAAAGAGTTCTAGAGTGATACCAATGTGTGGCAATAAGAGTGTGGCACCGACTTTTCCAGAAAGAGTTTATGACCAAGGATCGTGCATTCGAATGATCGTGTGTAACTTTTTGTTTTTCAGCTTTAGATTATGGTGGAGGCTACACTTACTTCTTGTGTAGCAATCACCGGGCACTTCTATTAATCTAACTGATGCACGAAGTTTATCCATGATTATTTATTTTAAATACTGACGTCACCGGTTAAACGATATTATTTACATCTGTGTTTCGTTCTGGAGTCTGGTAAAGCCAAAAAGAAAGAGGCTCTCGTTTTCTGCTTTTGCTGTTCCACAACGAAATTATCCGTAGTGTAATTATAAGTTTAATATAAATAATTAAAATATAAGAAAATGACGAGAATTTCATTTAGAAAACTCACTTTTTTCAAATGCAGGTAACTGGTGAGTACACTATCACTTTGGCTGACGGCCGTTCGCGAACCGTGAAGTACACAGCTGATGAGAATGGTTATCGTGCGGAAATCATCACGAATGAATTAGGAACCGAGTCGAAGAATCCTGCTGACGTTACCATCCAATCAACTGCACCAACTGGCGCGGAAGCCGCTCTACAAGGACCCAGCGCGTCAGCTGCCAAGGCTGCCGCTTCGTATGCTGATCCCGTATACGTGCCGTACGCATACGTTGCAAATCATTACTAAGCATATGGACGCGGATTTATTCGGCGGTTAACAATTATGGGAACACAAAGCCACCTTTCACTGAAGCGACCCAGGCTCATACGAGGTTGAGTTTTGTTCTCAAGAAGCGACCCATACAATGGGCTAACCTCCTTTACTCAACCTGCAAGCTAAAAAACTATTTTACCTAAATATGGAGTAGGTGCACACAGTGGTTTCCATGTCACCTAGTCACAGAGCTGCCCTTTAACACAACATTACGGCAGTCCTATCTGTACCTAACCGAATCTAGTCCTCATCAATAATAAGCTCCCTATTAGTACACAATTAAAAATTCTATGTGTGCTTAATGATCGCGTCCTATGGTATGTTCGCTTCCATGCTTTCTTTCATTTGCACCGGTTCGTAAACACTTCAACTCTGTTCTTTTGATAGCTTCTTTCAACAACCTGCTTATATTCTATAGGTAGCTTTTTACTCTACACGCTTCCAAATATCATCATAAACGCGTCCATACGCTCCGCTTTTTTGCCGCATGTACATACAAAGAGCTTAATATAAAAATAAAAAAATATTCAACAAGAATTTTCAAAAAATGTGTACTTTGTCGTTGTCGTACGTAATTGATGTCGGACCTTCCAATAAAGCCTTGGCAAAAGTAGACTTAAAAAATAGCTTATCTTCGCAAAAGCTATCGATACCCTGAGATTAACTATTTTGACACAATGGGAGCCGATTTGAAATATACTATGAATTGAAAACGAAGTGACACTAACATTGGTCAAACGTGTCTGTGATGTAAGATGACGCTAACAGCTAAAATATTGAGTTGTCAAAAAATATAGATGTTTTTCTAGCTAGATGGTTACATATCTCAGGTAAAATGGGTAACGTTGGATCGGCGTTGACGGCACTTGAAGGCCTTGAAAGACCTGAGATTTGGCAGTCGTAGATATGTTGAAATCGTTCGAATGTTTTTATTAAGATTTGAAATATAGCGGCTTGAATATTAACACGATAAAGGCATGTACTGCCTAGGTTTCTAAAACGTGCATGCTGCCTGCGACGAAGATGCATCATCGGAAAAAAAACGACCCAAAGATGATTCGATTATTTCCGTTCTGAAAATTTTGATACGAAAAATGATCCTCATAGGGATTCCACGAATCGGTAATGAAATTATTGCAACAGCCACAATACCATCGCGGAACTAAATATCCACTACTGACCACTCTTAAATCGTCTAAAAACAGCTGGCTACAACAAAAAGCTCCGTGCATGGCTGCACCATGAATTGACGCAAATGACTCGTTCATATTTCGGTCAGTGAGACTACAAAAACGCTGCGAGATCGAACCATTTACAAAACACAACTTTGCTATTGGCCTGGGTAGCCTGGGGTCCAAATTTTTACAGAAATTTCACTCATGCTCTACTCTGAATAAAAAGATTTAAGCATTTACTTCGTGCATTCATAGGACCCAAAGATCAGCTTCGAAATGACATTTACGGTTTTTCTTTATATGTGACTTTAAAGATATCTGGTTAGAAAAATAAGGAAAATTTTTTTTGATAACCCAATAGTATTTAAAATCAACTGAGCCTCAGCTCATACAAGAGCAGCTGTATAAATGGTAGCATATTTAAGGAGTTCCAGGACTAATGCCGTAAGTGAGAGATATATCCTATCATCCAGATTCTTTTTCTTCTGTTTTAACTATCCCTCTCCTGATACAATGAGCATGTTATACTGTCTTCTTTCCTTGGCACCCCTTATCAAATGCGGAACTTAATACAAATTTTATATCGCATGATCGATTTTTTTTATGTCGTAAAACAAGCGAACGATCTTCTCTGGTTAGTACGACAACGACCCCGGTCTGACTTAAGAGAACATTGGGTCTGCGCAAGGATCACACAGCCTGACTAAAACTGATAATGGCCGTTAGGTGTAAACCGCAACGTTTGCGTCGTAAAGAACCTGCGAGGTATTCCGTTAGAGCTAGACTTTCTAGGCGGACGTGCTTACGTCATTATCTGGGAAATGCGTTAGCCATCATAGAATAGCACGCTATGAAGTTGTTAGGTTGCGTTTATTTGTTCGGCATTAGCAAAAATCAGCCGGCATGTATTTGAGATTTTTTCCACGTGTTTATTCGCGAGTTGATACGACCTTATAATAAAAATCCTCGAAATATGTAACTTCCTCAAACAAGGCTTTACTCATTGTTTGGCATCTCGTATGTAACTTCACACGACATCCGGTGAATGACTTTGACGTAACAGTTTATAGGATTTCGTGAACGCAGTTTCTTAAGTTCATCAAGTCAGCTGGAGACATCATGGTAGAGATGGTCCTTCATGGAACTTCAGCAAAATCGTACATAGGATTTAACTCAGATCACTCAGGCAGAAACTGCAATACCCGATGAACGTTGGAATAAATGGATAGTTTTTGAGCCGTAGTGCGATGATAGGTCACACCATCTTGCTAGAACCATTCGCTGTCCATATTGAAAAGCCTTCATTTTTCCTACACTGGACTATTTATCGTCGCATAAAATAGAGTCCTACTCCATCTGAGAGGTCATCTTTGTAGCAATTTGCACCAAAATCACCGGCTTGAAGGAAACTTGTTCCGCCTGCAGAAAAATCTACGGTACAAATTTGAAACAAGAATCGTTCTGTTTGCTGGTTTAGAAACCAAATGACAAGCAACTGAAGACCTCAGCAATCGGCGGCAACTTACGTGGAAAGGAACTGCTGACCACCCTCGCGAGTCAGGTTAAAACAGGTTGAAAATTTTCGACGCTTTGTCACTTACATAGATACTGTACTTTAAGTAGGGCTTCACTTTTTACGTTTATTTTGTAATTCGCTCAGTAGCAGTTATTTAGTGGATCGTTGACTCTCGCATATCGATACACAAATATGAAATTTGGAATAAAAAAGCGGTAATCCTGAAAATATCCATATTTTATAATCAAAATGCGCAAACGTATAAAGTTTTTAGCATCAATGAAACTCGCAGATGAAGCGCTTTTATTTTTCTTCCTTCTTTCCCTAAAAGAATATTTTCGTTATCAGACTTCAGTGTAGTATTGGTTGAACGTCCACGGAGAAACAAACAAAGCCATCCCGAGAAATTGCTGACGCATTTTCCAACTCCTTAATTCTAGACAGTCGGTCGATTACGTAGTATTTGGTCGATGAAGGTGCCAGAAATACGTCGCTTATTACTTTTCCGTTCTCGAAAGTAAGCACCTCTTTCTTTGAGACCGGCTTACCCTCAGTACTGTGAATAGACACGATAAGCTTTTTTTTAACTGGCCATGCGAATGCGGACGGTTTATTTACTGGCAGACGAATCATCAATGCTACATACAGATCTTTGTCAGAACCCGGCTGAACTTGAGCGAGAAGTTCGAAGACATAGCCACTAGCCTTCCATTCTTGCCCCGAATCGCTCCTCTGGGCCATGCCGGTTTTCTGACACTGTGTACTCAGGTCGAGCACTTGCATCCAGAAAAAGCCTTTGTTTTCAGAAGTTGGACCGGAAGAAGCTGTAGAGATCGTTCGTGGCACCGGAGGTACGGGTAAACCTGCACCTACAGTTCGATTTATGTCCTCATGCTCGACTTCACCTTTCCACAGATGATCTTTTATCTCGGCCAGATTGCCCTCAAGACCACATCGGCATGCAAATTTCAAAGTTCGAAGAACACGTTCGTTCATTTCAGTCACCGACCCACAACAGATCTCTTTACAGCTGTAACAACGTAAATCTATTCCATCTGCATTTTCGACAGCCATACAGCAGCCAAAACAGAAAGTGTGACCACACGATGAGAGAATCCTTTTAGGCGTAAAAACCCCACAAGCATCACAAGAGCTTAAACGATGCGAAAGGGCACCCAACGGAGTCAGGGGAACTCGACATCCCGGATTTAGCTCCGGAGGAAGGTCACGCAAAAAAATCTGTAACGGCATAAGCGAGATCACAAGGTTATGGTATAATTTTATGATTTCTCGTGTGAAAGAAGGTTATTATATTCATAATTTCGCTACTGGTGATAATTACGAGCGCGTAGTTCTCCCTCAGAAGCTGGTTTCGATTGGGCTTCAAACGTCCCATGCGTCTGAACAATGAAAACAGTTTCATGTTGAATTGTGAAGTTTTATTACTGCTATTTGTACTACTAAGATATATTACTTCACCTTCGAAAAACGAGTTCAATAGAATGTGTTGGTGGAACATACAAGAAACACCTGATCTCGCATATATGGACGGGTTCTGGCGGCCGACCCGAATAAAACTAAATAACTATGACGTGGCACAAGTACTACCTTAGAGATTGCATTTCCCCGACGAGGAAATTGTCTGAGTTCCATTGCCAAACTACGCAACTGATCTTTGTGTCAATGGCTACCAAATTGATCACTGATCTAGATATTGAAGCTACTTGTTTGTTGTACGAAAATCACCTCAGAATAACGCGATAACATAATAAGCAAAACTAGAGGGTCAAATAAACGGTGTTAGATGAGAGGAAATGCACAATTATCGTTATCGTTGGCGAAGCGTATACAGTGTATCAGCACCGAATACTTAGTGCAAAATTTCTACTTTTATACTTGAGCCATGCAAATGAAAATATGACTGTCTATGTAGCAACACCGCTGTACATATATTACGAGACATGCTATGCATCTCTTGTAGAATTCAATTTATATAATTAGCCAAGTGAAGGGGTAGGTTTCCGTCTAAAGCACCATAGCAAATTGGTTTGCCGGGTATCGCCTAGTTTAATGTTTACACTCATAACAACTGGTGGGTTAAGGTCTCCAAATTCGAAGCCTTAGCAGACTGCTGAAGAAACAACCTGTTTGATATCATCAGGTAAAAGTGTAGCTGAAGTCGATTCGGGGTTCTTACCATAGAATATTCGTAATAATGGTTATGATATTAGACAAACTGTTCGCTGGCACAGTAAATCCGATCATTTTTACTTTCTACAAGGTGGTATTTGAGCTCCAGCAAACACTGACAGGCTGTTCATCGTGGCAGGCTACTCTTAATAATTGAAGAAAGCCAGTTCTGAAACGAAATAAACTCGTCATGGGTGACGCGGTGCGTCGCTTGAGCGAATGTCAACTATAATCCTGTTTTTCCGCTAAGCGTACCCCCATCGAGGTTAAAAGCTTTTTTTTGCCCGAGAACAACTGTCTTCATTATTGCAAGTTTTCGTTCGGCTTCAAAAAGATCCGAGAAAGGCTTCCATGAGGCAAACTGGGAAAATTTTCAATAGGGTTTAGACCTGAAGAACTCGAAAGTTAGTTAAACGGCTTAAAATTCATTTTTATATGCCTAGGTTTTCGATACAGAAACTAATGGGTGTTTTAAACAGAGAACCATTAATTGCCAGGAATTAGGTCACCCAGGTAAGCTTCAATGGTTAGCCTGAGATTTTTTGCGTTTCGGCATTTTTCCTAAACTTCTTTTTTTTGTTGCTAGCGTAGTTGTTAGACTTTCGGCCTGGTACCCTGAAAACTGAAAAAAATAACTGAATTTCGTTGGAACCTTTGTATGCAGTGTCTTTAGTAACGAGTTCATGCATAGCAGTATTTCTTGGCGCGCGATTAAAATTGCAAATCAAAAACTAAGTACTTTCAAAAATGACTAGTTAGTAGTTTAAAACCTGAATTAAGTTGCGGTGAATTGTGGTTATATTAGACGAATATGATCCCCAGAATAACAGTTGTAACTTATACAGAAAATATCCTTCCCGCTTAGGTACGGTTTTAGTAATAACTCAATAAAATTAAGTCTGCGTTCAGATACCCTATTCTGTATATTTCGACCACCTCCACATAATGGCATTGTGGAATCTTTGTAACAGAACAAGTCAAGCTGAAACCTGGTTTTTCTCTGCATATAATTGGCAATTATCGTATAAGAGAATTTCGGCCAATGAAAAAAAAGATTCACACAATGCTATATTTAGGCCACTTACTGTTTTTGGCCCGGGTCGTTCTGGAGGTCCACTGAAAATGCATGGCAGGGTGTTAGTTGGGCGCATTTGTAATGGTAAGGTTCCTAGGTGATATCTTTTATTTCCTCCCTCGTACCGCCTCTGAATCCTCACTCTGATCTTCGTAAAACAAATCTCACAAACGGGGTATCAAAAATTTAAAAACATGATTCGAATTGCACGACGATGAATGTCTTTTTTCACGAATTAAACACAAATCGTAGCCCGTATCGCAGTTGTTAGCTTTTTTCGAAAATAAACAAACGCCCCGATTACGTGTGTAATCGTCTTGTAATTGTTAGCAAAAATTCTCTAATGTCTACTTATTAATGGTCTTTAGCCAATATAATTCCGCCTTTATATTCCCCGATGTAGATACTGGGTGTCGGGCTACTTCGGGGTGGAGAAACAATTCTGTTTCTCAGTATATTCTTTCGTGGTAACGCTGAAATCGGGTACCATCATCTGGAAGAAATGGTATTCGTTCTATCGGTGCGATCGATCTTATAATTGTGCGTACATAATGCAATGCCCGTTATAATTACTGCATATTTATTTGGAATATGGCGCATAACACTGTCGTGCGTCAAATAGAAATGTTTCTAAACAAAGATGTCCAAACAAGCATATTTCGCGCGCCTGCTAAAGTTTTTTAAACGTCTGATAGAATCCTCATTAAAAAAAAAAAACAAAAAAATGTTAATATCAAACATTTTGGCGTTTCACATACCATATCATGCAACGCTCATTCAATGTATCATGACGAGAAACGACTCTGATATTTACCTGAGCTAGCTACTAAAGCCATTATTATTATTTTGTAGGGGTGGTAGTGGGGAAGAACTGGCAATTAAGGTAATGCAACGTATCCATAGGACTTCTCACGGGTAATCATATCCCTACAGAGAACTGGAAAATCCTGTAAAACTTAACTATACGGTTGCCAACTTACGATTCCAAGCTTATCATAGTATTTCCAGATGAAGCTTATTGTCTTGGGTTGCACCTTTTTTTGCTTGGACACCACTCTAAAAATCTGCCAGGTTGCTTAGAATATCGGCCACCGTCGGCTTATTTTCTCGCACCTAGTGATTTCGAAAAAAGTAAGAGGAACACTGTGACGTGAACTCGTGAATAAATACCGCAGTTAATAAATTGTACGTTAGGCTAATAGTTTTTATAAAACCCCGCAACTTAGTTTGCTTAAGGAATAGAGCTATGTGAATTCTACAAGTGGGAGTTTTGTAGATATCATTCATTTGCACAATTGTTTATATTTCAACTAAGGATTTGATTAGTACTCTGTCGTGTCGGACACTTAACGTTGTCTATCCTATGTAAATAGTGCTATAATCCATTTCGAAATGTCAGAAAGACAGGTTACTGCCAGCATTCAGCAGCCATAGACTTACTGCGGTTCACATAAAATGCTGCAATAGTTTACTACATTACTACAGTTGCAGCACAGAAAACATCAGAAAGGTTCCGCAACGTTTTTTTGCCAATCAACGGGCACCCGTAGCTGTGAGTCTTCTAGTTCGAATTCAAATGGACGAAAACCTTCACTAGTTGACTCAGCTACCAGCTTTGTTAATTTCTTTTTTACACATAATGGATAAAGGCAATTATCAAAAAAACCGTTGCACTTTGAAGATACGTTGGCAACGTAGTTGGGGCTTTTTGGTCACTTTATTGGTTTAGTCACATTCATCAGCCAAAGCATATGGCAGGTCCAATAAATAAGTATACTTGGACTAACAAAAAAGGGGAGGAACGATAAACAATACACATACAAGGGGAACCCCATCGATTGAGCCATGGGACATTATAATTACTTCAAATTTCAAAACGCGCGTTTGACATTCAGTCTAAAGGGTAAACTTTGTTGCGAACCGGGGAAATTCACGATGTAAAGCTCGGCTGGAAAATCTATGAACGCATTTATTTTTATCTTCTTTATTTTCTCTAGAGAGACATATTTTAGAGTCAACACTAGAGTACTGCCTTCCTTGAGACCTACCTTGAACGGCGTTAACGCTGACTCGCCTGAAATTTCGTTATCATTTTGAGCTGACGCCGGCCGCGTAGCATCTGTAGCTTAAAGATGGTTATAGCAGACACCAACAAAGATATATCGTCATGGCTGCCTCTTCCATTCATCAACTCGGTCTCCTTCGGATCAACTTTTGTTTTAGAATACGGATACTTCTTTTGAAACGACTAAGACATTCCGTAGAAGCAGCCAGATCAACCACGAAGAAAGGACTTTGCAACCACAAGGTTCGCGGCATGATGTTTCGGAAGTGAATTCAAATATGTGCCGGATCATAAGAACACTTACATCACACACACATGTATACTGTGGCGCGTTTTATTGAAGCACGTGACTTTGCTTTCGCTCAAAGAAGGCATTCGCGATTATTCCGTAGCCTACTAGCCGTTCACGTTGGATTATACCCTTAAGATGACAAAAAAAAACTCCTGCTTTGAAAATCCAGATAATGGTAACCAGATATCTCATATATTACAAAACTTAGCTGCACATCTCTGTCTCTATGAAACAGCTTTAAGGTCTTGCGGCTTACTCCCATGTTCTAATTAATAGAAATTTCACACGACAGGTTGTTCACCCAAGTCATGTCTTCATATTCTGTGAAGAAAAGTATATATATATATATAAGACCCTGTAATGTCCAATCATAGACGCAAGTCCGACTATGATATTTTCGATCGTATATATAATTGAATCTAGAAAATTCCTTCGAGAACTGCGTTAACATCGGGTCGGACGGTTAAGCTCCGCCAAAAGGATATGCAAAACAAACGTGTGTCTATTTGAAGGTTTCCCAGTAAACAGGTCCGTTGACACTGAAAAATCGTTGGGACCGGTAATCCTAGAAAAAACCTACATGTCTGTATATATATGAGAATATTTATGAGAGTACAACGAACAGATCCAGCTATATATTACGATGTGTTGCGACATTACTATATTGTGCAGTTAACGAAATACTCAGGTCATACTTTTTAACAGAAGAGAGATCTCCTAAACGCTCCTAGTCAGTGTCGCTGACTGTTCACATTATATGTGGGGCCGTTCGATATCGGTCGCGGCATGTAAATGTTGCATAATAATACTTGCTGCATATCATATATGCTACATCTGATAGGATATGTCTAACCGGTGAACTGATTCAAAGAAGAAAATATAAAAAAGAGAGGATTATATAAATGAGAACCAATGCTATAGTTGATCACAGAAACGCAACACAACGCTTGACATTGGATTTTTCTCGCGGATGGAGACTTCTGTTTCTGTTACTAATATAATCATTAGTATTAAAAACACCTTAGTTCAGTTACCACAAAAAGCGATACCAATCACTCAGCGATCCCTTGAAACGAACTGGGACGCCAACTCAAAAAAGCCGAGCTATATAGGTCAATTAAAATGTATTAAAGTAATAAAATTTGTAGTACAAGCGAAAAAGGTCTCATTTCCACGGTTAGGTAACATATTTTTCGGCCAATAGTTGATTTTTCCACACAACCAACTAATGTTGAAGATATTTTTATTCATTCTTACTATTATCTGGAGGGATCTGATGCGCTCGTTCGAAAAGTGTATAAAGGAGCATTGCGCACGACTTTTATGTGTGGTCCCGTTGAAGAATGTTGTCTAAGTTAGGACCGTTCCGGTACTCCTTAAGGGCCGGTAGCCAGTTTCTGCGATATCGAGGACGGCTACCCCTTTGAACGGTTTTTCATTTAAAATAGCTGTGAAATTATTTACACAGAAGCACAGGAAAGTGGTAAAACACAGGAAAAGATGAACACGTGTCGCGCTCACAGATTGAGCCACAAAGCTTTATAGATAGTCTCCTGTAACCAAACCCAAAAAAACCTTCCAAAAATTTTCGATAGCTGCCTGTGTTTTCTTTCATTTCATCTGCGTATAAATTTCAGGTAGCTGGTCGAGCTAAAATTGAGTTTTACAAAATACACAGACGAATGCTATAATCATCATTTATGCATAAACTATAGCTTAGTTGTTACCATTTTCCATTGTTTAATCTGAAATAATTAACTATAACTTTAGTGTAAAGTTTATGTGATTGATGCTCTCCAATGCTCCGATGTCTTTAGAAACGTCAGAACAGCCTATCTGATTGCCTAGGTGTTCGATTCAATATCTTGACAAGTAAGCTGAATTATTTGTGAATCAAAGCAGGCTCGGAGTTGCTCGGGTTAACGGATGAGAACTGTTCTACAAGTTGTCTAGCAGTGTCTTCGTCGCAAATCGACAAGGGTAACACATATAATTACATATCATTGTCTTGGGACAAGATTTCGTGCGACTACACCAAAATGTTGTGTGATGCAGTCCAAACTAAAATCAAGGTATAACATGAATGCTAAAAAAGCACTTTATCCTTTAATTTAGACATGCTTGTCTATATGTGTGTGTGTACACAAACGTGCACAGTTTCAATCACGAAATTCTACTCTATTCGAACTTTGCTAAAACAAAAAAGAATCCGACCTTCTTTATCTTTCCATCTATATATAGCAGTGAACAAACTTGCAATCAACGAGTTTTTTTTGTATGAAACCTATTAAGCAAACAATTTTAGTACGAGGGATGCGAACATGGCGCTTGTAACTGCTAAGCAGACGATGTGACAAGGGAGACCTCTTCAAAGTGTCAACAACTTACTAATTTTTACATGCTGTTGCATCCTTAATGGATAAGCAGAAGTAGGTTTGTGGACTAAATCGAATGCTTAGTCTGCTGTACATCAACTAATCGATGGTATTTGTAGCTTACTACCTAGAGCGGGAAGATAGCTTGAAGAACAAAATATTTGCATTTTAAGTAAATCCTGAACCGTTGTTGCATCTTTATTTAATGAGGGAATACATTCATATAGGTAAAAACTAGAAAAGAACACGTTAACTAATCAAACCGCTCGATACAACGCTTTTCTGACCGCTGGGCGCAAATCCATTAGACGCAATCCTAACTTCTCCAAGGGTTCTGATTTCTGTAATGTCCAGGAGACGCATGAGAAACGTTATACCGAATTACTTATAAAATACAATATTATGGCGAATTTAGAATTAGGTTATCCCATTTGAGATTTGTAGAATACAGCTGTATCATCATTTTTCGATAGTTTTTATTTCTAAATAGTGCATGTGTCTTTATCGCCTGATGGGATTATATTCTGTTCGTCTATGAAAGTCTATCAATTTGTCTATGAAAGTTGAGAGAAGTTTTCGGTATACATCTGAAGAGGTGCGGAAGAGCATTCTTTCGAAAATTCTATTGTATGAGTTTATAATACCGTAGCGTCAGTATATGTAGTGTATAATTAAGGTTATTATAGTCATGATTTCAAAATACCCTGTAGCACACCTATACTGTGTGTACTATGTAGTGTTGAACGATCGTAGAAATTATATTAGCGTGCACCCCTTTTTCATTCTCATTCTTTCCTCTCTTTTGTACTTTAACAAATATGAAACGAAGACTCTGCAATTGTCAACGAACCATTCCATAACTTCTGATTTACTTCATTTATCTATATGTTCAAGCTTCTGGCAATATTGCAACAATTAAGATTAATTAAGCAAAAAAGATTATTTCAGACAGGCAATGCTGTCTGCAGTGGAAAGCAAATAAAGCTTTTGTTTCATCGACTAGTAACATATTAGATTGATACGGGTATTTTATAGCACCAGGGGAATGCTACATGCAGGCCTTTTATACCAATGACTGAAGAGAGCACAGTATCAGCAATCGTAGCCTTAATCGACAGCTCTATACTTTGTTTGTATACAAACACTCCCTTGTTTGTATAAAGCCGATTATAATATGCCGATTATACTGTTTGAAAAATGATGCAATATTGCTGCAGTAATACCGTTACTTTGTTTTGATTACCTTGATTCAACTATTTCACTATCGTGATCTAGTCATCCTGCGGTCTTCGAGTTAAGTCCCACTCCCTTGTGCTAATTATTTAGTGTTACCATCACGATTAGGTCGTCACTGATTTACGTTACCCGTAGTTTTTCTACATCTAGAGTTTCATGTGATTTTTAGGAAAAACAAGGCAAATAAGCAATAGAGAAGTACGTGTTTCTTCTTTCAACGACTTGATTATTGTTTATAGCATACGCCAGACTTAGTTTCGTGGTAAAAAAATAAAAATCTGTTTCCTGAATCTAATTTGAAAATCATATATGTAGAATTGGAAAATAGAGGATGTTTATCGTAAACGTAGATGTTTTGTAAATCGTCAGCCGTCCCAATTGTTGATGCAACTGGTTAAGTTCCTCCTTCCTAAAGTAAGGTTCCTCTCAGACTGCATTAACGGCTGAGAAGAAGACATTTTCGGTACTTTTTGGCCTAAAAAAGATTTCTTTGAAGACGTGCCATTTGCACCATGGTGGCTTCACAAAAACGATTAGGGCCCTTCTAGAATAAAAAAAATAGATAAACAATTATCTAACTGATACATGACATTAAAGCTGCAATAATGGCAGAGACGCGGTTGTACGACAGTACTGGTGAACGAGTATTGGTTTTCTTTTTTCTTTTGTAAAGACCATGCCTCAAAAGGCAGTAGTCATAAAGTCGGTACTGCATTGTGAAGTATAACTCAATGCTACTTAATGTGGAAACTGCCACCCTTGTACAAACATGTATTTGAATTTAGATTTTATCAGCTTACATGAAGCTGTTGCCGACACCTGTCGTTAGCATAAAAAAAATCGTGCAAAGATTGCCAGCCTTTCTTGTAGGTCAGTTTTTCAGGAAGTTTGCTGTCAAAATACGTTGTGTCAGCCTCTAATAACCGATAAATTAATTTTGCAAATATAAAGAACTGCCCACACTAACGATTCCGATTTGCAAGGTATATTGAAATTTTTCTATTGGCGATTTGAAGGTGTATCTGTACACAAACAGTTCTCTCCGCTACTTTGGTAAGCCATATTATTTACCCACTTGTCTTATGATTAGAAATCAAAGAGGTTTTATACTAGCATGTTGAAAAGCTTAGATTTGCCAATTGTTAGGCCCAGCGACCTGTTTTCAAAC